ACAGAAGCTGTTGTCTTCAAGTTCAAATGGACTGTTTTGTCACGTTGTGTTCCTAAAAAGCAGTGTTTTCAGTTGTAGACAGCAGCAGAGGAGCAGCTCTGGTTTCTCTGTGAGCTTCAACCACAGACATTAAATATTAATGCTGTTGCAGTGATATTTTCAAATGCTTCCATTCAATTTTTTCTCAGTGTAGTTTTTTTATGTCTCTGGACGGTTCCTTCAGTATGAGGACATTTAAAAAGCAGGAAGCATTGTAAGAAAATGACTTGGAACAATGTTATCGTCTTCACATTTACACATTTAAAGGTGCAATATCCAAGTGTTCAAAACCAGTATATATATTTTTATTATGAGAATAAATAGAGAATAGAACAAGTTAACTAATGCCCCTGCCTGTGTGTATAAATAATAGAATGAGTACTGATTGGTTTGTTCTAAAGAAGTGTAGCCTTTCTATGGAGGTGGCCATGTTGAATCACTGTGTTTGTACTTAATTGTTTTTCTTGTAATATGAATTTTAACTTCTAAAATTTTGGTTGAAGTCTTCTCTGGTCTTTCTAGAGTAAACCTGAGGTTGAGCCACCATAAAAATCTTCACCACTCGTAGTTGCTTTACTTTCACATGTTAACTTCTAACTAAGGTCCAACAGGTTCTGCAGCTCCAGGTGTTAATTATTTATTGTTTTATTTATTTATGAAATTAAAAGATTGGTACAGGTTACAGGTTCAATATTATGCACCAAAATCTCAGAAAACATGTATGTAGATGTGTGCGCGCGCATACGCGTCTGCGTGTGGGTGTGTAACATCAAATCACTGCGTGCTAATTTGTGACGTCAGCAGAAACAACTGATTTTTACTTAAATCTTTTATGGACTTGAAACGGTTCTGACAAACATTCACGACTTGGTTCCATCAGGTCCAGTCACTGACAGGTGAAGAGCTGCTCACGCGGCAACGCGCACGGTAGAGCGTGCGTACTCTACGGTGCGGGTATGCGTCAGTGTTTTATGTACGCTTGTGTGTTTATATATGTGTGTGTGTGCGTGTACTCACGGTGTTCCGAAGGTCCTGCAGCGCTACGCTCATCCTGGAGCTCTATAGCCGAAAAAAGAGCGCTACCGACGGCCGCTCCTCCCGTCCATCCTCGCTGTCGCTGTCCAACAGCGGTGTCCTACTGTCGGTCTGTCCTCTCTCTCCTGTCTTTTGTCTCCGCTGCAGAACTGGAGTCTCGTCTGTCTCTCTCTCTCTCTCTCTCTCTCTCTCTTTCTCTCTCTCATTCCCTCCTCTCCTCAAGCCCCGCCCAACATCCAACCAGCCTTCTTCCTCTCACAAACAAACACACCCCGAGACACGGAACCGCGACGTCATTCACACGGACTATACGTCACCAGCAGGACCCCTATCTATCTATCTATCTATCTATCTATCTATCTATCTATCTATCTATCTATCTATCTATCTATCTATCTATCTATCTATCTATCTTTTTCTTAAATTAAATTAATAAAAGTGATAAAAGTCTGACAACATCGATTTCATTCATGTCAATCATTTATTGATTAGACATAGTTTTTATTAACGCTTAAACGTCACTTAGCATTAGCTGCATATCATTAGCTCTACGATATAATCAGATGTTTTGTTCAAATGATTAAATTTGTAATTTTTAATAATATTGCTATATAAAATATTGTAATTCATGTTAAATGTTTTAATTAATAATTAATACAATATATTTCAATGTTTCCCTCTGTTTTAATGTTATGTTAATGAGAATGTGTTGTTTTTATTATTGCTATTGAAATGCTTTTATAAGATGTCACACATTTAGCCCCAATTGACTTTACAGTGTTTATGAAAAATAAAATAAACTTCCCACTAAAAAACGGTAACATTATATTGAAATTATATTTACAACACAAAAGTGAGCATATTGTGTTTAACAACTACTATACTGTATATACTGTATATATACAGAATAGGTTGCAGCCTAATAGCCAAACATTTGTCCGTTTTGATTATACATAAAATAAAAGAAACAACCGAGTTTCTGTCCAGAATATTTGCTCAGTGCAGTGCATTAAAAAAACTAAAACAATACCAGTAATGCCCGACGAACAGATGCTTCTCAGTCATGCAGGTCATTTCAATCCTGAGACAACGTCTCCTCCCAACGTAGGTAGCGTCTTGCACTTCCCACAAACCATCTGTCTTCTCTGAGCAGGGTCCTGGACACAGTGTCCTTTGTCTTCAGGGTGTAGGTGGGCAGCTGGGCCCTCTCTGTCTCCTTCCATACATATGTACAGTAGTTATCCGGCTTCTGTAAACTACCACTCAGACCAGTCCTCAGTAAACATCTCTCTGTTGGGGCTCAGGTGTTTTTATTTGTCTCCTGCATAAACCAGTGTCAGTCTGGTTGAGTTGCAGGGTTAAAAAAACAACAGGTTATTTATAGACTCAGTGTCAGTTACAGGATCAACTGTAAATGGATCCTTATAGAAGAATCTACATATTTAGATTAAATCTTAATTTGATTTGTTCACCCTCTTCTAGTGAGATCCTGATACCTGTAGCACCAGGTTTATGGTCCAGTGGGTACTTAGGGTCAAGGAACAGATGTTGTTCAGACTGTTTAAGGTAAACTAAGCACAACCTTGTTCTTACTGTTGGTAAATCCCAGTATGAAGGAGAAGTCCTGTCCCCTCCAGGGGGTGCTAAAAGATCTTGGTCAGTTTCTTTGGTCACCACTTTTCAACATTTTTCCTATTAGTGGATATAAACATGCTAAAATGATGACAGACAAATGACACTGTCAAACACAAGGCTGAAGAACAACACCTACGGATGTGTTCAGTGAAATCAGAGTCAGAAATAGAACCTGTTTTGACCTCATTTCCTTTTCACTGGACTGAAAATTAATCCACCACCCACAGCATTACAAATCTTCCCTTACTGGAAAACAGATACAGTCTGCTGGGTTTTTGTTTGTTTATCATCACTTCCTCACAGAGAGACTGTAGAACAAGTGCAACCAGTCCACCTGGTTCAAACAGTGTCAGACTTAATCAGGGCTTTGTTCACGGCTCAGATTTTAAAATAACACTCAGAACTTTGTAACTTTGTAACGTAAGTTTCAGATTCTTGAAGCCCTTTTACAAAACTCCAGCCACAGCCAATCAGAAATGTTCTTTTTCATTGCTTTAATGAACAACAAAAACCCAGAGATGTAATTTTTCAATACTTGAAAGTACATCACCATTGCACTAAAACTATAAAAGCCCATGTATATATACAAAATTATATATGTAGTCTACAGACTAAAATATGTCTATCTTTGCATGTATAAAATAAATTATGAATTTATTTAATTATATTTTCTATTAATTGATTCTATTAAATTTCTATTGATTTTTTAAAACTCTATACTCCCCCCATCCTCCTAAGATTGTAGTCTCTTCAACGTGTGAATATCAAACCTAATTCTCAGTTCAACAAGCTATTTTAACTGCTGTTAAAACTGTTGGAAAACAACCAATCCGAGGGCGACATCTGATGGCAGACGTTGGATTTACATGACAAACTATTTTGAGCACGGACATTTAAAACATTTTAAAATCGTTGTGGGTTTGAAAGCAACACAACTATACCTGGACTCAGAGTTGTCCTCTGATTCTGTGAAGTCGATTTAAAAAGAAATTAAAAAGAAGAAAGTTCGTTTCTAATGCAGGGAGCGCAGACTATCAGACTATCTTAGTCTTTTTTATACTGTTACTTGAAAATCCATGTTACGTCACAGTAATGGTAATGGATAGATGGATAACGCACAGTCCACAGCTACTGGACCGAGACCACTGACCAAACAGGATCACACCAAACCGCAACCACACTGACCACGAGGATCCATAACAGCATGGGCTCAGATGAACATGTGATCGACGCATGCGCAGATCTTTACGTCAGTTACCTGAGATACCTGTTTCCCTCACAGTCGCTTCATAAAAGTGACATCACATAAAGTGTCCACACGTCCAAATGCTAAGCAGTCCCCTATACCCCCCCCCCCCCCCCACACACACACACACAGTGAAATTTTTGACCTTAACTGTGGTCAATCCTGCACTTAGTGTCTTTAGAAGTTCTCTACTTGGTTTCAGGTTTTGCTTCAGTACCGTAATTTTCCAGCAGAGGGCAGTAAAACATTGATCATGTTTAATGCATATCCATCAACAAGCGCAAGGACTAATAGTACACTATATCGATCCGTTTAGGTTTTTTTTTTTACAAAACCGGTGATTTTAACAAGTATTTTAACAGAACCATAGACAGTACGATGTGGCAGCAAGACTTGTGACACATTCTGCCAGACATTCAGAGTATTTGTAGTAATATTATCACCAAATTTATACGACATACATTTTTGAGTCATCAACTCTAACTTGTGAACAGGTTAAGATCTGTTATTAGAAAGAAAACAAAACAATTAGAGACATAAATGGAGAACTGTGAGGACTTGAAGCTGCAGGTGTACAAGTCAAAGCATCTGTAAAAATGGCATTTCAACAGACTGCAGAATGTAAACGTCAAGAGTAAAGAGGTGTAATCTTCTCCACCCAGGAGCTCTTTGTTCACTCCTCAGAGAAAAGGGATTCAGGAAAAGGAAGGGAGGAAGCAGCAGTGAAGAAGAGTGAGATAGAGACGAGGTAATAATCATTCAGTCGTCAGTGAAGAAGAAAAACTGCAGCTGTGATTCTGAATGACAGGGATTTTCTTTATGTTCAACTTGGCTTCAAATAAAATGAATATAAACTTTTCAGTATCTTTCAGTCGCAGGAATAAAAAATAATTTTTCACCTGCAGAGACGACAGGAAGCAGAGTCATCGTCACTACAGAAACCTGTTCACACCTGCAGATAATAAACCCCATCATCAGCTTCACCAAAGACCAAGTGTTTGGACACATCTGTTGTCTGTGTTGATTTATTACAGAGACAAAGAAAACAAGACCATTTCTATGGATGAGGTCAGAAACTATCTGGACAGAGTTATGTCACCAGATCATTGGGTCTTCACTGTGACAACGCTTCAAGATATAATACAAATCAAATTCATTAAAGTCAGTCAAAACAGAGGTGGTCTGTGTGGACATTACAGACAGTAAATAGATATTCCTTCCTAATTATTATTATTCAACAGATGATGAGTCAGCAGTTTCTGACTAATTACTAACAGTATGAGTCAAAGGTTTGAATCAGTCTGTCTTTGCCCAGATTTGAATACAAGCAATATCACGTCTCAAACCGTGACTAGTGGTTAGACTAGTTAGACAGTGTCCATCACTAGTTAGACAGTGTCCATCACTAGTTAGACAGTGTCTAACTAGTCTGTGCACAGAGGTTCTCTGATCCAGCGGCAGAACAAAGATCTGGTTCCATCTAGACACATCCGCTTCATGTGATTGCGTCACTGATTACATGCATTGTTGCATTGTTCTGCAATTGACACGTTGTTGTTTTGGGCTCAGAGCTGAACCTGGGCCACGGAGTCTTCATCCATCACTATCCAGGCTCAACAAAGACCTGGAACCAGCTGACACTCCTCAGACCTGGAGGGCCATGATAATGTCTCCACAGCAGCAGCAGCTTTGTTTCTCTGCTCTGGGATTCTGACACCCCCTACAGGGGGTTTGACCTCTGACTCCTTTAACTGCTGCTGACGTCAACGTGCTCTGTGTGTGCGTGTGGGTGGCTGAGTGGATGGCTTAAAATGTCAGCTGATTAGTCGCCTTTTCATTTTTGATGAATCGTCTTTTCAAGGTGCAACATGCCATTAGCAGCCATTCATATTCACACGCACACACACACACACATGCGCGCACACACACAGAGGAGGGAGTTAATAGGCAGAGCTCTCCTTGTTCCAGTGAAGCTTTCACTCGTAATTAAAGCTTGTTAAGGTTTATTGAAGCTGTTGAAATGCTGGCGTCTGATTGGCTACATTGATGATTGGCGAGCGAGGCTCTTTGTGCAGGTGCAGCTGTTGCTTTCTGTGAACTCCTGGAAGTTTGTTTTTCGTCACGACATCTCTATAGCTTTCCCTGTCGCTGCAGACGTCTAGAGAGTCACCTGAGCAGAAGTCTGGTTCAAATGTAGCTCGAGGGTCAAAGGTCATGCTCAGATGACAAAACTGTTGGTGTTACAGCATTTACAGAAGAGAACAAAGTCATACGTCTGATTGAACTGATCAACAGACTCTCTCTCTAAAGGTTTTTGTAAAGTAAAAAGTGTAATAAAAATCCTTGGTTATTGTAATTTGAAATGACTGATCACCAAAAACACAGGAAGAAAAAAAGTAAAGGCGGATGAAAATGGATCTGAGCTGCAGTTCAGTCGATATAAAGTCATCACGTCATTACAGTACTATTACATGTTAATATTATGTTAATGTGATGTGGAGTAACAACACGGACATGTCGCCACTCATATAGAAGAAATTCATTTCTTTCAACAGTTTTAGTCGACCAAAACTGATCGTTTTCTACTTAACCTTAATTTGACCTTTTTTTCTAAAATATTTTAAATTACATCGTCACAGTTTTATATAATAATAATAATATAATTATTATAATCTATTCAATAAGTTGTCACAAATGACCCCTTAGCACATGAGACATATTGATTGTGTGTGTGTGTGTGTGTGTGTAAGTAGCTTCACAAAAGACATACGTTGACCAGTGATTTTATTGGAGGTTTTTGTGAAGAATTTGAGGACTTCAATGACTTTTTAATCTTCTTCAGGCTGTTTTACAACCAGAAAAAAGAAATAAAACCTGGACTAAACCAGATCCGTCTTTATGCTGATGATGTTCAATGATAGCTCACCATATCCTGCAACAGTATTAGGATTAAAAGTTACTGTAAATATCTGATCATCGTTTAATTTTACTATGGTGAAGTCATTGAGTTTCATAACATTTCTTCTCTTTCATTGGTACTTTTTTTTTCACCTAAAACTTTTTGTCCTTTTCTTTCTTCTGTTCTTCGTCTGTTCTTCCTCCTCCCACAGGCGACCAGAGAGGCTGTTTGTTTCAAACTGATTTTATTCAAACCAACAATTAAAAATTGTTTCATCGTGTTT